CGTCAATCACTTTCTATTTTTATTACTCGCGTGAAAATCAATCGTCGCGTCCCGACGAATTATCTGGCAAAAAAAGTTTGCGACGCGACGCGATTTATTCGAAGTTCCCATTCGATTATTACGTTCGTTACGAACGCGCGTAACGCCTGTGGCAGAAGCTCGTGAATTTCACGTGAATTTTACGTCCCAATTTTACGTTCGCGTAGATAAGGTGTTCGAAAACGAGCAGCTTCTCGATAGTCGTGGAAAATTTCCGCGATGCGTGCCGAAACACACGAGACTCGTTGAAGCGTGAGACGCGTTTGTTTGGCACGTTGGTGTCGAGATTCATCCGAGGTCAAGCAACGTTGCATCTCCGTAAATTTATCGTTTGGGCAAGTTTGGAAGTTCAAACAGAATCGAAACTGCGACGATTTTGACAAAGTCAATTCCATTTGAAACGTATATGTATAATTTCACGTATATAATGTATATAATTAATATAAATGTACGTAATTTATATAATTATACATAATTTTATATAATTATATAAAATATATAATAATAAATATATTTATACATATAAATATATAATAATATTTATATAAAATATATAATAATAAATATATTTATATATATAATTAAATATATAATTATATATAATATTTATATAATTTTACATAATTATATAATATTTATATAATTTATTATTATTATTTATATTATTTATATTATTATATAACTAAATTATATAAATATAAAATTATGTATAATTATATAAATATATTAATTACGTATAATTATATAACTAAATTATATAAATATAAAATTATGTATAATTATATAAATACATTAATTACGTATAATTATATTAATTATATAAATTATACATGAAATTATACATATAATTTCAAATGAAACTGACTTTGTCAAATAATTATAGTATTAATATATTTATATAATTATACGTATAATTTCAAAAAAAATTGAAGTTTCCTTCGAGCGAGTCGACTTGTTGCGAAGCATTTGAAAGATTAATAACTCGAGGAAGTCAATTTGCGAAAGACTCACGAGCATGAGCCTCAAGGAGTCGGAGTCAGGTTGGAAGTGAAAAAAAATTTTACAACTCGGTTTGTCGCTCTATTTGTGGAAGAATCTGTTTGACGATACGCACACGCGATCAATGAATGGAATCGTTTATGCTCGTTTGTAGCGATATCGCGAGCGACGACAGCAAGAAACTTTCCATTGGAAATCAACAATCGAATCTTAACGTAAATAATCGAGATAACAAGATCTAGTGATTCTAACAAATTCCAAATTGTTAAATTAATGCAGTACGCACGTTGGAAATTGTACGATCGAACCGTGACGAGAAAGAAAATCGGAAAACTGCGGGGAAATGCTTTTGATTTTACTTGAGTATTTGAGAATACGAGTTCGAATGGCTTTAGCCTCTGTCAGTCACCATGCCAATGTCAGGCGAGATTATTATACGCGAGGTCGGCCTGCTTTATATACAACTATCAATAGCCATGAGAAGTTTCAATGATTCTCATTGGGCACTATAAGCAAAAACTATATTTTTGTAGCCCTTCACAAAGCAATGTTGCAAATGTTGCAATGTTTCAAATCGTCACGTGCATGAATTCAGATCGTTTTCTTTTTCTACATTATCCAAGTATTATAACATACTCCATTCGCGAAACAAAGTTTCGAAATTGCTCTTTTATATTTTTCATCGCTTAAATTATTTTTCTGAATTATTCAATTCGGGTTTTGTAAATTATCAGCGTCAGTAGATATTATGTTTTACAATGTAACAAGTTTAAGAGATTAGTCCAAGTTCATCAGGTGAATTAATGAGAACTACAAGTTATCTGGCTATCCTGTTTGACGAGGAATTACAAAATTACGAAGAGTTGTAATTTTTGCCTCTGTAATTTGTAACCTCGATCGATTGATACAAAGACCATGGTTACAGATTATTTGTTCGAATTCTTTACTCGAACATTATTTTTTCTAACTCATTATCTTTCTTTTCTCTCGTCGTAAAACAACAAGATCAAGTAGACTTTATTTGTTACGTGTTTTCATCGAGCAAACGGCTTATCTGATCGCACGACTAATCTCACATATATATCACAGCGTGACAAATATTAGGAAACAGATTTTTCCCGATATTCACGAAGTCACGCCGTAAGTAGTTGTCAATGAAAAGTTACCTCATTTCGAGAAATGCGCGTACATCACCGCTCTTAAACAATCTTGGAACAAATATTTATATCGAAACATGCACAACGACAAAAAAGAAACAAGAAAGAGTAATAATGAATATTAAAGATAAAAAGGTGTCCTAAGATTTTTTTCTTTGTAATCTCCGAGATTATTCGAACAATTTTTTTCTTTTTTCTTTTTTTTTTTTGATACGTGACTTGAAAGAAAAAAACGAAGAGAGCCTCGACGACGAAGAAATACTATCAGGTATTTACGAATGATAGTCACAATTTGTGAAAGTCATATATGTCAACGAAGCATCGAAGTTTCTTTTTTACATACATTTTAGAGTTAAATGAATTATTACAGCTAATCAAGGACCACGTTGACTTTCGAAAGCGCTGCAAAATGTTAAATGCCCTTGAAAGATCAGGCGGAAGAAATATTCCAGTCACCAGCAAAACTTGAGAAGAAGCAAATTTCAAGATAAACAATATAATAAAATATAACGTGTAATAAGGATTGGTAGAAATAGAAATAAAATGAAAATAAACGGCAGAAATGAAGGGATCTCGAAATTTTCTCCTTCGGCGAGTAAAGGAGAAACCAAAGGGAAGAGTATTGAAGAAGTTGGAAGGAATTCGTATTTGTATTTCTATCTGATTATTTTCAAATTTATTTTAGGTCATATTATCGTTATCGCGGTGTAGAGCACCAAGTTATGTTTAGTTCCCGAAGTTGCGATAGTGAAGCACTGTTATCGACACTTTTTTCTACTACGTACTATGGTCAGCTTCATTTACGACGTGCGACAAAGGGCATTGCTTCTAACGAGAATTAACCGAATCAGAAGTTGGATCTGTATTCTTACATTGTGGTCTGCGCGTATTTGAACATTAAAAATCTGATCCAGTTCGTGCTTTTTACTCGATAACAAAGTGTTGTGCAACGCGATAACTCTGCTTTATGTAACACTAAAACAATACGATAATAATAGAAGCGATCGATGCAACAATATTAATAGCAATTGATCGCGATTACGAGAAACAGAGTTAGCTGTTGTTGCTCCGTAGATCGTGATCTTCTCATCGATTGAATTGCGAATTTAATGGGGAAAATGTCAGTATATATGTAAAAAGACCGCAATCTGTTTAGGCACACGTGAGATATACACATCGAAGAGCTGTAATTATCAAATTCATAACATCCATCATGATCTTGAAGATTGAAGTCTTTCCGATTACGTCGATCTCTCAAAACTTGCAGTAGAAATTTATTATTAATTAACGTTACAAACATTAGAATTAAATGGCAGATATTCAAGAAATCCTCTCGCTTTGTTGTCTAATCTTAATGTTCAAAGTTTAATAAAATAATCGTACAGGTATCTAGTCATAAAAAATTTTTTTTCAATGTTTATAGAGACGTTTGTGTAATGTTACCGCAGATTTTTAATATCAATAGTGATTTTCTTATTTGAAATAGATCAGTTTGATGAAATACTTTCGTTTGAAATAGTTTAAATAGTTTTTCGTTGTATAGTCAGAACATATGCAGGACGAAGTATTATGTATAACTACGTAAGTATGAAATATTCAAATGCAAGAAAAGTGTAAATTTTTGCCCGATAATGTACTAGAATTGAAAACAATAAAGTGGTACGAGAAATAAATAAATGATTTACGAGTGGAGGAGTGAGTTTGCATAAGTATTGACAATTTAATGACGACGTTGTTTTTAATTACGCTTATAAACCATTCTTCCTATGTAATTTACATAAGTAAGGTTCGTTGTTTGTAACAATTTATTTATTTATCAGTAGTATCTTCAACGTAGAGTCTATACGTTTCTATTTCAGTCTTGTTATTCGTTTTACTACGTAAAATTCTATTCAAATTCTTTCGAGCGCGTTTTCAATATCGCAATGACTAACAAGTGCCAATTTCAAGTTATCATTCCACGCAGTTAGTTCACTATGTTCTTTCTATCGACGATCGTTGTAATCGTTCTATTTAAATTCGAACTCATTGCACAATTTTTTAACATACTTTCGGTAGAATCTCGCTTTTTACCTAATGAAGTATTAAACTTTTCTTTCCTTTTCTCTTAACATTATTAATACGTTAAATTTTATTTATTATAAATATTTTGCATACAATTGTAGAATTTACGATGGGTGAAATAAGGATGAGAAAAATATTAAGCGAAATTCCCTTTCAAAGCTACAATGTTAAAAAAAAAAAAAAACAGAACCCGATAATATAAATATAAATTGATCGAAAAAACAACTTTCTCGTTAATAAGTTAACGAATTAAAACGATTGAAAATAGAATACTACACAAAACAAACTGTTCCGATTGTGTTCCTTCGCAATAACTTTTCTACAACATTCTCCCTCAAAGAATATAATCAAAAATTCACTGAAAGATACACCGAATGAATTTCCATCTATTTCTCCCTTCAACCCTCTGATCTACCATCTCGTAAATTACAGACGCTAAGTCTACAGCGCCTAAGCTAAAAATAAAGTTAAAATACTCTAAACAGTGTTACTCAACAATTCCTGTCCACGCTCCTCTCCACGCTCCATTCTTCCAATTACTATCTTCTTCTTTGCTCAATAGTGATACCTACGACATACTCGAGATAAACGCAGAAAGAAAAAAGGCGCTTAAAGTGATTAAAAAGAAGAAGAAAAAGCCTTAATGAATCGAGATTTCGAACGCGTGGGTACGCGCGCCACTCGCCAGTTGGCGGCGTGGTGGGGATGCGCAGAGATGGATGCGCGCGCATCCACTAGTTCCCCCACCACTTCTGACGGCAACGCGCTATATTTGACGTCACCGGAGTAGGTCGCGGCACTCAGCTGACGACTGCATTCGGAAGTGCAAGGAACTGTGACAGATTACGATTACTACACGAGTTCAGGTACGATCCCACTGACTCTGCTCTCCCATTTGTGCCGCGTGTGGGTGTTTCGAGATAATCTTCCTCTTCGCGTTATCTTCCTTTCTTCCCTCTTTCGTCGTCCTCAGTTTTTTGATCATTGGGGCACGAGACTGCTCGTATATCTCTGGGGTAGTTTCGGTCAAATTTTTTATTTGTTTTGGTCGATTATCGAATTTTTTTTTTTTTTTTTGGAGGATGAAGAAGGAAATCGTACGTCAGATTTTTCTTGGATTGTTGTAGTGGATTTGGTATAGGTATTGATTTGCAATGGAAATATCTTTATTTCAATTTTATTTTCAAATATACGTTTGTTTTTATTGGAAAGTACGTACTTTAGGTTGTTGCACAGGTATGGACTTTTTTTTAAAAATTTGTAACGGTGTGTATAATCGAAATTAAATTAAAAAGAATTCTTAAATTAAAAAATTGATCATCTGCGTGTATGTACTGCACAAAATTTAATTAATGTATAATTCAGATTGAATTAAAATTTTGAGCTCTGATTGGAAATTTTCGGCAATGATTGAATCCTCGATAAGAGTACATGATCTTCTGATTAAGCAGGAAGTAGAATACAGGATTGGCGAAACATTAGTGTCATGAAATATCGAATTCCATTTCTTAAGATTCCAAGATCGTGAAAGATGAATATCTGCTGTTAATCCTAAGACAAACATCTTGATTTTATTTCATCAATTTCAATAGGCAGCAAGTGTTGTTATCTGTCGTCGCAAATTAACCTAAAATACACGAAACGAAAAATTCTCCAATTCTACATATTTTAATTGAATATTATAAATGATTGCACAACTTATTATGTACCCAGCGAGAAAATGATCTCTGTTGCAACATGTGAATTTTTTCTTTTATTGCACAATCGACTAGAGATCTTGCAATCGTTATCACACAAAAGTTTCGATCAAATAAAAGTTTTTATAACAACGTTCGTTTATAACACATTACAAACGAGTATGCTTGCTAAATTGTACTTAATCTCTTGGTATGGGAGATTACGGACGAAAGAATGTATGGAAGTACTACTTTCACGTATGTAGTCATCTCGTGCATTTATCAGCCGCTGGAAAATTATTTTTCCCCTATGGGGAAATGGCCGATATCCGCACGTGTCTTTAACACATCTTATAATGTTGCATTCATCTCTCTAAATGTGTGGAGAGATTAAAACAATTTTTCAATTGAAATAGAAACGAATGTTAGAACGATCGATAACCAAAATGTTCGCATTAGAGAAACTAAAGTGCAAAAGTATAAATATATAGAAATAGATCGAAAGATTTATTCATCATACGATTATTATACATTCATATTGATTTACATTATTTCACTGTCAACACTGTTAACACTATCGTCTTTTTCGTAGGCTTCGATCAAGAAGTTGCGCTAAATCATTTTCAAGTATGGCCGAATCTTTGGAACAGTTGCCGAAATCTGAAACGATCAGACTTCGAGATCGTTACATTGGGTGAATATTAAATTTATCGTTGTTATCGCATTTAGTTCGTAATATCACTTCGTGACTGGCGTGAACACGGATCGATCGTTTTGCAGACAAGCGTGTAAATTATTTTACAAATCGAACCCATTGAAGATTGTTCGAGCTGAAGGACAGTACATGTACGATGAGAAGGGCAATCGCTACTTGGACTGCATTAACAATGTCGCTCATGGTAAGAAAAAACTATAACCGATTAATACATTTTTACTTGATTTATTTTTTACATAAATTAATATCTGCAAGTAATCCGCCATTCTTTTTTCTAAAATCTTTACACGTTGATTCTTGCGAAATTGAAGATGACAATTGTTTCAAGAACTTTCAGCAGCGTTGCGAAAATAAATTCTAAGCCTCGAGCTTCGAAAGCTAGCGAGTCTTAGCTAGTGTTTTGAACCTGAAGGGATTAGAATTTTCCGAGGTCGAATTTCGAGCTGTCTGGCTTGTGAAATGTCGACAACATTGTTCACTTTAGAAACTCAAGAACTTTGAGGATTAATCGTGAACTCTAAAGCTTCAGTTTTAAATCTCTGGAAGCTTCGTATGATAATTGTCCTAAAAGTCTCTGAGGTCTCGAGATTTATGCAATTCGTGTGAAACAATTGCGTTAAATTCAAGTTAAATTATTATTCAATTCTAATAAAAATGTTCTCTTACGTAGCGCCAGTTTGTGAAGTTTGTAAATTTGAAGATGAATGTTTGAGAATCTGAAAATAACAATATACTTTATATCATATATTTTTTATAGCACGGAATAAAGAACTGTACATGGTAGTATATGTACGTATAGAAATGATTGTAATTAAATAAACATTGTCTCTATTGACACCTATAGACACATGTTTATTTAAGAGAGTTTAGAAAAGAAAGGGTAAATTAATGAGAAATGATTTTGCATCAGTTAATGTGAACAAACGAACAAATGAATAGTTAAGTAAATAACGGTATAATCAACTAAATAACAAAATAATCAAATAAACTTGTGTAGTAGGTCACTGTCACCCGTCGGTGGTGCGTGCTGGCCAGGATCAAATGGCTATGCTCTCCACCAACAACCGTTTCCTCCACGACAATTTGGTAATCTGTGCTCGACGTTTGACCTCGTTCCTTCCGGAACCGCTGTCCGTCTGTTTCCTGGTGAACTCGGGCAGCGAAGCCAACGATCTCGCGCTTCGTCTCGCTCAGACGCACACGAAGAACGAGGACATCATCACTCTAGACCAGTAAGTTACTTTTACTTTCTGAAGATATAGCCTCGCACCGGTAAATAGAATGATTTCGTAGAATTTTTTTCCACGTTGCCTGAATTATTCATTATTCAGTCGTCGCAGAAACTTGCAAACACGAGCGTTTGTAAATACTCGTTTTCCAAGCATTCTAGATGTTTCCTCCTAAGCAATTCAACCCTCCGTGGAAAAAGCATGTTGCATTGTCGCATTGTCTTTCTTACCTAGTTTTCCAGTCTTCCGAGAAATGTCGAAAAGTCTCGGATCAGGCTCAGTGACGCTTCGAATTTTTTTTTTAAATCAAATCGTCGAATGATTTCTCAGGGTGAGTTAAAGAGAAAAGTTCACGAAACGAAATTTTGCCGAAATGCTTGCGAAAATTCTGTGTGACACGAAATCGTTGTTGTCCAATAGGCTTTCCAGCTTTGAAAAAAAAAAAACGAGAAAAAGAAACCGAAGAAAACACACTGTGCATTAAAAAATGAAAAAGAAACACACACACACACACGTACAAAAGAGAAATGCTTCGACCATTTGCAGGTAGCCTTCCCCTTTACGAGATCAGGGCAAAATTCAGCGTGAGTTGCGATGCGACTAGAATAAGACTAGAAGATGATAGGAAACACGATGAGTATTTCAGGCCCTGACGATTTCACCCACCGGCCAGATCGCAATTCTCTTCCACACTCATCGACAGCCGACTAATCATGTGGGTTTTCTTTTTTGCCTGTTTACAGCGAGTGAAAACACGCGCGGAAGACGGCAACGTCGGCGACGATTTAACGAAGAGAGAAGTCGTAGATCATCGATCGACGAAAAATTGTCGTGCACGGGCGCGATAAGTCGACGAATGTCACATAAAGCTGTTGTCGTTTTAGGTGACACGGTAACATGCCAGAAAATGTCGACGACAGAAGAATCTCGGGAAGCCAGTTTGTAGATTTGGAATTCGTGGCGACGAGAAAGTAATTTTCATGTGATGGAAAAAGAAAGAAAGAAAGAAAGAAAGAGAAGGATGGCCAAGAGGATGGACGACGTCAGGGAGAGCGATGAGCGTCAAAGAACGGGAAAGAAATCGAATTGGAGAGCGAGAGGGAGGACTCGAAAGTGAGATTACGTTGTTGGAAACGCGCGGCGCGACGATATCATCGAAACATCGAGGAAGCTCGCACGAAATGTAAATTGGCGAGGTTTAATTCCGAGGAAGTTCGGAGGAAGCTGAAAAATGTTGAATTTTCTATTTAGAATTTGAAATTTCGGTACTCGACGGATGGGAATTTTGCTTTAAGCCTTGCAAAAGCGGAAACTTCGAACGCAATATGCAGTCTGCAGAAATGGAATTGAATTTTTTCGAGCTTGGACGAAAGACGAATGGTTTTTCAGAATATTGATCCGAATGGTGGAAATTTTTATTTTCGGTTCGACAACTTTGTTCGCAACGACAGAGAGGTTCCCTTATTTTTCCGCACGGGGAAAACTGTCGAACTTCTAACTGAAACTTGAAAATTACGCCGAGTGACAATATCTTTAATTAAATATAATTCCACGATAATAGTCACTGTCCCTTTCGCAGTTGCTGCTATCTCAAGGTTCTTCGTTTTGCAAGTGATCCGTTTAGGTTCTTTGATAACATAATCTTACATCATTCGAGCCAATTCCACTTTGCCTAGCTATCGACGAGTTAAATCCAGACGCTGAGAGAAAAGCGTGAAAAGCGCATACGTGTGTTTCCTCGAGCATCCGTTCTTTTTCTTTCTTTTTGTGTCTCTGTTAATAATGGAAGATCATTCGATCGGGGTCAAGAGCCATTTTGACGAAGAGTATAGGGAGTGTGCAATTTTCAGGATGTACGAGAGACGGAAGGGAGATGAGAGAAGACACGTCCTCGTCGTGCGGAGAGTCACAGTGAAATGACGCTTTAGAGACACAGAGCTTGATAGAAAAATGCTGTGACGGGTGAGAGGATGCTGTATCGTATCAACGTTGTTCTTTCTTTCTTTCTAGTGCGTATCATGGCCATTTGACCTCGATGATCGATATTTCGCCGTACAAGTTCAACAAACCGAACGGGCCTGGCAAGAAAGATTGGGTCCACGTGGTAAGAGCACACGTCAATTTCTCTATGTTGTTACGTTGAACTTCAAGTTGACATAATGACGAAATGAAGCAATAAGAAATTAACCCTTTGCACTCCTCTGTCGAGCATGACATCACAGTTTTTTTTATCACTGGAATCGACAGTTTCAAATTGCAAGAGAAAGGAAAAGAAAAAAAAGTTGAAAAATAATTCTTAGTGCAAAGGGTTACAACTAATCTAATCATTTTTAATCACGGTCTAATACTGAAAGCGAAGATTAACCTCTTGCGCTGGAATGACGTGCAGTGCGCCGTGAATCTTTTGTCCCAAAATTGCAACATTTTCTTAGTTCCAAGTATATTTAAATAAAACGAAATAGGCGAAACAATTAATCAATTTATTACTTCTCAATAATTTCTATCCAGTGATGCCGACGATCACTATATTCAATATTGCATAGTCAAAAGGAAAAGAAAGCGACGAATTATTGTATATACGGGTTCGGTCACTCGTTATGGTCCGCCAATCAGTTGCCAGCGCAACTGGTTAATCGAGGAGAACTCTTTGAAAAACGTATAACGTTAAAGTCAAATCTTAACGAATTTTCAGTTGTCAAATCTTAACGAATTTCGTAGAACGTTTTCTCGCGATCAAGGTGTCAAACTTGTGGTTTCTCGAAAAATTTTCATCAAACACTAATTAAACTTTTCTTGCCTGTTACAGGCGCCTTGCCCGGATGTCTATCGAGGAAAGTACCGCGAGATCGACCATCCCGATGAAGATCTAGGGGAGAGGTACGCCGACGACGTGAGGATCATCTGTCAGAATCTGAAGAACAAAGGGAAAGGCGTCTGCGCCTTCATCGCTGAGAGCTTGATGTCCGTTGGTGGGCAAATTCTGCCGCCGCAGAGTTACTTCAGAAACGCGTACAGGTGTGTGTACGTTAGATCTCGGGCATGGGAAGAGACTAGAGTCACAGAGTTCAGTTAATGTCGTTGACGGAGTTATTCTAGAGAGAGAAAGTTAATGTTAGCTGTTTGGAACTTAGTTAATGACAGTTGAACGAAATTACAGACACGTTAGAGAAGTTGGTGGTGTCTGCATCGCGGACGAGGTGCAAGTTGGATTCGGAAGGGTCGGCAGCCACATGTGGGCCTTCCAGCTCTATGGCGAAGACGCCGTCCCGGATATAGTGACCGTTGGTAAACCAATGGGCAACGGGCACCCCGTAGCAGCGGTGATTACCACTCCAGCCATTGCCGAAAGTTTCAAAAACACTGGAATAGAATATTTCAATACGGTAGACACACTCGGAACCGCAACAATTTCTTTGCCTCTCTATTCTTGACTTTCGATGTTTCATTCGTCGGCAATTGACCATTTAGATATCATAGTTCTCAAAAAAGAAATGAAAATACTCATAATTACCTTTAAACTATTTGGAAGTGAAGTAAAACCAAGGGATCTCTTTCGGTGACGAAAGAGAAGAGTTCAAGATATTTCTTTGTCACAAGAAAGACTATAACTGCTAAGGTTACGATTGTAATAAGTTCCCAAGTTTTACGAATAAATACAAACATCTTTCTGAGACAAAGATAAAAAGGAAAGTCAAGTCTAGAGGAAAGTGACTGGCTGAACGACGAAAGTAATACTTTTTGTAATGTTTTTCTTCTTTACGCTTCAGTATGGCGGAAATCCGGTGTCCTGTGCTATAGCGAACGCCGTGATGGAAGTGATTGAGCGAGAGAATCTTCAGGAGAACGCTCTGTTGGTTGGCAATCATCTGATGTCGGAATTGAGGAAGTTGGCCAAGCGACGAAAGATTATCGGTGATGTGCGCGGTGTTGGCTTGTTCGCGGGCATCGAGCTGGTGCGCGACAGGGTCACGAGGATCCCGGCGACCACGGAAGCGAAGCACGTGGTCCTCAGAATGAAGGACAGGAAGATTCTAATCAGCAGCGACGGCCCGGACGATAATATCTTGAAGGTGAAACCGCCAATGGTGTTCACGATCGAGAATGTGAACCACTTGGTATCCACCTTGGACGAGGTTCTTGAGGAAGTAGACATTGGAGACGAGGAGGTGATTATAACATTAAAGTTTGAAATGTCAGTATGGTGAAACGAACTTGAAACATTAGATATTGGAACGCTAGAATATTGGAGTTAGAGATATTGGATTAATAGAACATCAGGAGGTTATAATTATTATTAGAACATGGGATATTGGGTTGTTAGAATATTGAATATTTTATATAAAACGTTAAAACGTTAGAGCACTAGAATGTTGAAATGTTAAAATATTGAAATATAATTGAAAATTAGAAGGTCAGAATATTGAAAAGTTGGAGCATCGGAATGTTGGATTATTATTTGGAATATTGGAATAATAGAATACTGGAATATTAAAGTACTGAAACATTGCGATGCCCGAATTTTTGAATATTTGCCCATGAAAATGTTAAAATATTGGAATATCAAAACTCTAAGAATAGAAATTCTAATATTTAAACAATTTTTTTTTTTAATTTTAACATCATATTCAAATTCTATATTATATTCAAATTCTATATTCTAATTTTATTTCAAGTTAGAATGATACAGGGGAAGATGTAAGAATGGAGAGCAGAAGTGTCACGCCAGAACTTTTCGTTTCTGAAACTTGTGAATGAAATTTCTAGAATTCATCGTTGAATGATATCGTAACCCCGATTGCAACTCAACGATAATACGTGAAAGTAACGGAAACCGGATGTAAAATGTCAACATTTTGGACTGCAATCTGTTTTTTTGAATGAATATGCCTGACAGTGCAAACAAATTGAGATAGCTGCTTATTCTATCAACTATGCATGTGTCGGTATTTTTCCCAATCAACAATTATTTCCTACTCCCTATATTATTTTCATAGATTTGTTGCATGTACTGTTTGTTTGACCTCTTGATCCTTTCATATTATTTTGCAAATGATTTCGTATTAATAGTCAGAATAGAAGTATGTTTAAGTAGGATCTTTAATTTAAGGAACTTGAACAGTTATCAACGAGTCCAGGAATGAAATATTGGAATATCGGAGTATTAAAATATTAGGGTATTAGGATATTCGACTATTGGAATATTGGATTATTAAAATATTTGAATATTAGAGTATTACAGATTATATATTAAAAGATCAAATTATCAGAATATTAGATTATTAGAATGTAGAATGTAAATTAATTGGAAACACGTTGTACATTTTACAGTATTATCTGGTTATCCACGTTATTAATATTAAAATGTTTTCTCCGTATCACTCATTTCATTCGAAAAGATTTGTACGATTAGAAATACATCGTATTACTGTCCATTCTGCTTTATGCGAAAGTGGCATAAAATATAATTTCACAATAGCTCGCACAAGAAAGGATGTGACATTCTTTGATATGATTGACCTACATCACTTTTGCATTAAACTTGCTCATTTAATTTCTCTGTTAGGATTGACGCAGACTTTAATTATTCGTAGTTCCTTTGAAATATCACAGATTTAGTCAAAGTAATTTCCACGTCATTCAACACTCTTTGAAGCAATAATTAATCAATTAATTATGTCTTTTTCAGAATTACGAATCAACAACAACGATTTTGAAGGCGACAATCTCGAAAATGGATGTCGACACGGATAACACCACCTGTCCAAGCACAAAATCATTGCTTGTTCGCGCTAATTAACGATCAATTCATATTGAATTTATACACATTTATAAAACGCTTTCTATTTAAGATATTATTATTCGCAAGCCGAATGATTATTGCCAAATCTGTTGTGCATGGTTTTAGAATGGAGGATATAATGTATGTATATGTATGAACAGAGTCATTAGTGAGAGATGAGACTTTAATTAAGCGACGAGTATATATTTTAATAAAATAAATGCCAAATAAAATATACCACATTTTTACGTATCTGTCTGTCTGATTATTCTTTCCTGTCTCTCTGAATTCTCTTCTCCGCCGAAACTCGAACGAAATTGAAATTAAATCTTGAGATTTAAACGTCATTGAAATTAAATAGATATTATCGTCAAAATGAGACGTTGAAAGCAGATCATGATCCGTGAGAAAGAACCACGGAATTAAATTAAATAATTATGAACCTTGCCTCAGAGTTTGTCACTTGCGAGAAGAAGTTAAGATATCGTTCAAGATTGGATCGTATAACGTGTGGTTCGAAAGCCAAACTGATCAACTTCGCTTCTTATTCGTTTCTCGAGAAACGAGTGATCTAGTTTCGTAAGTTTATTCATTCGAAGGAAACGAAATCATTCCTTTGTCATTTCTGATTTATAAAATTGATTGGGATGTGACTTCTGAAGGGAAAGAAAATTCAAAGTTTGTGAGACTGTCGATAAATTCGCTGAGGGTTGCCCCTCGAATTTATACCAAGCAAACGACGATGTTTTTTGGAAAAATGGAGATTGAATTGCTGGCCGTAATTTAATAAAAGTAATAGTGCAATATATAATTCTGTATCTAATATGATGAAAATACGAAAACTGTCCGTCCAATCAAATATTATCGCGGCGAACTCGTGACCTCACGTGTGCAAGCATCCTACACATCATAACCAAAACGCCAATCTTGTTTTTTTCACTGTTGCGCTCACACGTATCTTACGTAATTATCACTGGATCTTATGCATTTCGATATTTTCACGAAAGAAATGAAATTTAAATGGAAATTTATTCCATTCACTAAATGTTATAATAAATATACCTTACTTTGGTGGCTACTTATTTGATATATTTTTTGCATAGTGTAATGTAAATTTTGCAACTCTAAATTTCTCACAAGTGCATAACGATATTATATTATATTCATAATTCTCGAGAAATGGCTAACTGAACGATGAAAAAAATTTTCCGCTCTAATTTCAATGTATCAAACTATGAAAAAATCATTTATAACGATCTACTTGATCTCATGTGAAAGTGTAATGCCTCCATTTCGACAGTTCTGAATGTTTTACCTCGTGTACTTGGCGAAAATGGATATTTCTATCTTCGAAAATTGTCAAAATTCGAATGCTTCTGTAAACGAGGAAAATATTTTTTTTCTTAACTAGATCCATCGTGGTCTTAATGATCGAAGTTTTCTCTTTAAAACGATCTCTTGTTGCACAATCTTTCTTCACTGTTTTATTAAACTTTGAATATTATTGCAGAATTTCTTGACAGGACTTCTTAAATATCGTTTCGAAAATTCAGTAAAATCATACAGAAAAATTTCAAGAGATGTGAACACAGATGTTTTCAAATTTTACTATCTATCATTCGCGTATTTTTTAATTGAGAACACAAAGATATATTTCAATCACGTATTCATCGTGCCAATTGTTTTTAATAATCAAACACATCGATTTTAATGGAATCCATTCGTCCTAACAAAATCATTATCAAAATGATTCTATCTCTCTGAAGATCAGAGGGAACGATAGAATTCTAGAATAGAACGGGAAAGCTGTAGTAGAAGGAATACAGAAATAGCAAAACGGGAAACATGATGAATGACGTGTTGGCGAAGGGGCAAAATCATGAAAATTTTCTCAGCTGCTGAGTTGACATAATCAAGGTATAAATTGCCAGCTGGATGGAGGCATCGTCACTTTCTCGTTGGATACGGTTTACAACATGTGGCTACCTCTAACGATTTTACTCTTTGGTAAGTGAGAATCATCTCTACCACTTTAATACTTCCTAAATTTGAATTTCATTGTTTAATTTAATCATTAATAGCTAGCTTGTGACAATTATTTTATGATGAGCGTGGGCTCAACATCTCTGTTTGCTTCATAGTTTAGAAATTTTTATCTTAAGACACGCTTGGTTTTTCCATTGAAATATCGTGCTAAATGAATTAGAAAGGCTTCGCGAAAGTTTGCGAGTTGAAAATTTGTTGCGAGTTGAATTTTAAATATTGTTCACTTAGTATTTAATCTTCTAAGGACGGGGTATTTAAATCCACCTTCGCTAGTGGATGGATTTAAATCGCCAGGCGATTGGGAAGTTTAATTTTACATGTTTTCGTATAAATTATTGTAGTTCCTATATTTTCAAAGTCAATCAAATCAAATAAAGACTCAATATATCGGACATTCGGCTTTCTCAGAATTAGATATTATATAAGTGTCGATATATCGGACGTTAGTACTTAAAAGATTAATAATATCGGTATATTATATAACATATAAAATATTGTATAAAATATTATTAGTATGTTCATTAATGAACATAACATTAGTTATTATATTACCGTAGTAACCGTCAAGTGGATTTTTGATTTCAATGTGACACTCGTAGGTCAAATTTACATTTCAAATCGTAGTCCAAACTAACAAATGGAAATAAGTGTTTTGAAAAATATTATTAATATATATATATATATAATATTAAAAATTATTAAAAATAAATTAATATATTTAATTCTTTAATTAAATATAAATAAATTAAATAATATAAAATTAAAATTAATAATTCTATTCAACATATATATATATATATATTAAATAATCATATCGAATTCGAGCTAAAACACCACGAATCATTACTAATATAAATAAATTTATTATAAAAAATAAATTAAATATAATATTTCAATAATAATTATTAATAAAATTATTTTTATAAATAATAAATTTATATATTCTGATAAAAAAATATAAATAAATAATCTTCTATAATATTCTAAATTAAATCCTGAAACTAATTCTGATTCACCTTCAATTAAATCAAATGGAATACGATTTAAATCAATTAATAATCTAATAATAAAAATAAAATATAAAGGATATATTAAAATAAGAAATTAGATTGATAAGAAATTATATTAATTAATTTAAAATTTTCTATTGCCAGTGGTATTAAAAATATGTATACATACGTACACAGATTTCCAAAATAATATCAACGTGTAATACTAAATTTAGGGGCCAACGTGATCCACTTGGCAGATACAAAATGAACGTTCCATTACCCTATTGTTCCGTGTCCATCACCCAATAAAGCAAACTGACACTGACAATGTTCGCGCGTCCGCAGCGGGGCTGATTTCAGCCGATCACCATCATGGCTGGAACATCGGCAACGAGTACACCTACCTCGTGCGAAGTCGAACGATAACCAACCTTGGCGAACTGTCCGACCAGCAGGTCGGTCTCCTGGTGAAAGGGTTGCTCACCGTTCAGGCGAAGGATCCTCAGACGCTGGCGGCGAAATTCTGGAAAGGCGAGTACGCTCGTATCCAGAACTCTTGGCCGAACGGTTGGGACACCGTGGTCTCCGACCAAATGTTGGAGCTCCGTGACCTGCCCATATCCGGCAAACCGTTCGAGATCAGGCTGAAGGACGGCTTGATCGTGGACATAATCGTGGATCGTAACACGCCGACCTGGGAGGTGAACATACTGAAGAGCATCGTCAGCCAGCTGCAAGTGGACGCGAAGGGCGATGACGCGTTGTTGACCAACGACAGGCAGATCCCGACCGATGAGTTGCCGTACGGCAACTTCAGAAAGATGGAGGACTCGGTCGGTGGGAAATGCGAGGTCCGTTACGACGTGATGCCGCTGTCGGAACATTTGATCCGCGAGAAACCGGAATTGGCCCCAATGCCGACGATGAACAACGGGAACCTCATGGAGATTGTCAAAACGAAGAACTTCGACAACTGCGACCAGAGGTTGAACTATCACTTCGGCATCACTGGGAACTCTTTCTGGGAGGCTGGATCTAACAAGAATGGGAAATTCTTTTCGGTGAGTATATATTTTTGACGTTCGCCAATCAGCACTTGCATCATCGTAAGACTATGTCGAATTTACGTTGATATTGCGTCAGTATTCCTTGACTTTCGTTTCGGTCTTCGTTTCGATTATCAATTACATGAATGATTTGTACTAAAGGAACACGTTGCAATTCCTAACTCTACACTGTACATGTTGAAGTCTGAGAGATGAAACCTTGTAATTTTCAATCTGACGAGAAACTAAATCTGCAACAAGAATGAAATTCGACTTACTCAGAGCTAACCAAAAAAAAAAAAAAAACCACGCTATATCGCGAAAGAATGACTATCCGAAACGGTCGTTGTTACAGAAATCTTCAACGAGCAGGATCATCGTGTCAGGCAGCCTGAGGAGCTTCACCATCCAATCGTCGACAACGACCAGCAAATTGTTCGTCGGTCCGAGATTCTACGACGAGAAGAACGGGCTGGTGGCCAGCAGGATGAATCTCACGTTGGCCGACGTGAAAGAAACGAGAAACGTTCTGCCGTCGCCGAGCGACCCAGAATCCACCGGCAATCTGGTCTACGTTTACAGCAATCCGTTCTCTGACATAGAGGAGCGCAGAATCGGCAAACAGGACTCGAGGAAACGGTTAGTATCGGACAGCGTGAGCTCGGTCAGCTCGAGCGAAGAGGCGGCGAACAAGCTGAACCCTCGAAGCGTCTCCTCGTCGAGCTCGTCGTCTAGCAGCTCGATCTCCAGCAGCGAGGAGGATAAGAACTTCTGGCAGCCTAAACCAACGTTGAGGGACGCGCCGCAGAACCCTCTGTTGCCAATGTTCATCGGCTACAAGGGTAAACACATCGGACGATCCGACCAATTGGACGTTGTGAGCAGCAGCAAGGAGCTCATCTCTCAGATTGCCAACGAACTGGAGGATCCGAGCAACATCCCCAGCCAAGAGACCCTGGAGAAATTCACGATCCTGAGCAGCTTAGTTCGTACGATGAATCTGGAACAGATCGAAGAGATCGGAAGAAGCGTGCGCGTGTCGTCCGACGATTTGAAGGCGAACGACAGATCTCAGGTTGTTAAACAGAACGCCTGGTCGTTGTGGAAAGACGCTGTTGCCCAAGCTGGCACCGGACCTGCGCTCTTGGCTATCAAGAACTGGATTGAGAACAGGGAGGTCCAGAACTGGCAAGCCATGGACATTCTGTCCAGGCTCCCGAAGACTGCGCGCACACCCACCGATCAGTACATCAGGGAATTGTTCGTGAGTATTTGAGGAGCAAAGGAATTTTTCTTTTTCTTTTTTTCATTTGCATCGGCAGGATTTTGCAAGACAGTTAAATTTCATTAAACACTCCATGATTCACATCGTCTGTAGTTCCACCAAATGCGTAATTTTCAAGGGAATCCAGGAATACAAGCAGCAGATTTCAATAATTATAAAATCTACGTTTGTTCACAGAAGCTGCATTCGTGAACTCGCATTGCCTGTATAGTCTTTGTGAGAACATCATACTTTGTCCTCAGACTGCAACCTTATCTCTTCTAGGAATCGATAAGAATCCCAAAACGTTTGAGGATCCTTTGCATCTGTCTCCTTCCACGTGAAATCTATATATTACAATTTATAGTCGAACGAATTTCTTGACGTTCGACCATCCTGTATAAATATCTGTCCTCAGGCACGGTAGCTCTATAACATAATTAAATGTATAAATATTCCCACTTATAGCTAAAGCATGCATAACTGAATACACTCCAATATTTAGTGCAATGTATCCTGTTAGTAGAAGAAGGTGAAATCCCGATACTAAATTGATCTCTCTGTAACTTTCTTTGTCCGTTTACGTCTGTTTTCAATATTATCACCGCAGTGTGGCATTGCTCCATTGCTCGATTTGTCCTTTTTTCAGAAACTAACCACGATCGAATCGATGAACGAGGACAAGTTACTGAAGAGCGCGGCTATCGTCGCTCTCAGCGAGCTGATCCACAACGCCCAAGTGAACAAGAAGACCATTCACAACAACTACCCGGTACACACGTTCGGTCGGCTCACGTCTAAACACGATCGCAGCGTCCAGGACGAATGGATCCCTCAGCTGTCGCGCGAGCTGAAGAAAGCCGTCGAGAACAAGGACAGTGTAATGATCCAGACGATGATCGTCGCTCTGGGTAAAATCGGCGACCCGAAGATCCTCTCCGTATTCGAGCCTTACCTGGAGGGCAAACAACCGATGACCACGTTCCAGAGAACGATGATTGTCGCGGCGCTGAGCAAACTGGCCGACACTCATCCGAAACTCGTTCGCTCCGTCCTGTACAAAATTTACCTAAACACCATGGAACACCACGACCTGCGTTGCACCGCAGTCTTCCTCCTGATGAAGACCGATCCGCCGCTGAGCATGCTGCAACGAATGGCGGAGTTCATCAACGTCGACACCAACAAACACGTGAACTCGGCTGTGAAAAGTACATTGGAGAACATCGCGAAGCTGAACCACCCGGAGTGGGAGAGTATGGCGAAGAAAGCTCGCGCGGTGAAGAGCCTGTTGGCCAAGAACGACTACAGCTTCCGCTTCTCCCACGGATTCATGAGCGACGTAATAAACAACGAGAAGAACATTGTCATTCGAACGATATTGAACTACATCGGCAGCGACGACAGCCTGATACCGAAGGCCGTGTACTTCGCCACATTCTCCACTTTCGGCGAATTTAAGCTCCCTCCGACCGAGGTCATCGCCATGATCTCGAGCGTCAGGTCTCTGATGGACTTTGCCTTGAAGGACAGGCAGTACGAGGACACTGTGAAAATGGCAGCTGAGAAGATCGCCGAAGAATTGAACATCATAGCCGACGAAGCTGTTCCTTTGGAAGGAAACGTGATGTGGGACGTGAAGTATATCACGCGCTTCATCCCCTTCAACAGGGACACGCTCCAGAGATTACCTCTGAGTGAGTATCGATAATTTGTTTCGTTTTTCTTTATTTCGTTTATTTCACTTGCCATCGAGTTAGTACCTTTTTGTTACGTTGCGTCGACGAACACGTAACATTCGGGGATCCTGTGAACTGAAAAGTGAGACAAGCACGCGTCTATAGCAGGGGTCAGGCAAACTTTTTTTTTGGAAATGCGACGTCTGTCATTCACAACTTCTCAACTCTACAATCGGTTATGCTTGCGTTACGTAATTTGATTTATTTTTAATTTTTTTCACGTTTTTGAAAACAATATTAACCCGCTATAGCATCGAGCCACTCGTAAGCTACATATTTAAAATATCCACAGGTGTACTTTATCGATGCACCATTACAAAAATATCAAACGAACGATACTCGATCCCTAACGAAGAAGATTCGCAACATTCAAATAATATCACCCACACACGTGTATAATTCCAGCGATCGTCAAATTGATGATGTGAACTGAAAAGTGAGACAAGCGCGCGTCTATAGCAGGGGTCAGGCAAACTTTTTTTTGGAAATGCGACGTCTGTCATACACAACTTCTCAACTCTACAATCGGTTATGCTTGCGTTACGTAATTTGATTTATTTTTAATTTTTTTCACGTTTTCGAAAACAATATTAACCCGCTATAGCATCGAGCCACTCGTAAGCTACATATTTAAAATATCCACAGGTGTACTTTATCGATGCACCATTACAAAAATATCAAACGAACGATACTCGATCCCTAACGAAGAAGATTCGCAACATTCAAATAATATCACCCACACACGTGTATAATTCCAGCGATCGTCAAATTGATGATGTGAACTGAAAAGTGAGACAAGCGCGCGTCTATAGCAGGGGTCAGGCAAACTTTTTTTTTGGAAATGCGACGTCTGTCATACACAACTTCTCAACTCTACAATCGGTTATGCTTGCGTTACGATACGTGATTTGATTTACTTTTAATTTTTTTTCACGTTCTCGAAAACAATATTAACCCGCTATAGCATCGAGCCGAAAGCTACATATTTAAATATCCACAGGTGTACTTTATCGATGCACCATTACAAAAATATCAAACGAACGATACTCGATCCCTAACGAAGAAGATTCGCAACATTCAAATAATATCACCCACACACGTGTATAATTCCAGCGATCGTCAAATTGATGATGTGAACTGAAAAGTGAGACAAGCGCGCGTCTATAGCAGGGGTCAGGCAAACTTTTTTTTGGAAATGCGACGTCTGTCATACACAACTTCTCAACTCTACAATCGGTTATGCTTGCGTTACGATACGTGATTTGATTTACTTTTAATTTTTTTTCACGTTCTCGAAAACAATATTAACCCGCTATAGCATCGAGCCGAAAGCTACATATTTAAATATCCACAGGTGTACTTTATCGATGCACCATTACAAAAATATCAAACGAACGATACTCGATTCCCACATTCAAATAACACACACGTGTATAATTCCAGCGATCGCCAAATTGATGATGAACATCAGGGAAGGGAAGTTCGTTAACATGAACAGATTGGAATCCTACGACATAGCTCTCAGCTTGCCAACGGAGACCGGTCTGCCGTTCGTGCACACCTTCAACATCCCAGTTCTCTTCAGGATGACCGGGAACGTACAAGGCGAGTTGAAGGCCGGACACAGCGTTGTCTCGAAGAACAGCCTCCGCCTGGTCTACGCGAGGAAGGTCCAAGGAAGAATCGGTTTCGTCACGCCGTTCGATCACCAGCAGTTCGTCGCCGGTATCGATCTCAACTTCCAAACGTTCGCGCCGCTGAAATGGTCTATGAACCTGAACACGCCGAAACGCAACTTGGAGGTGAAACTGTGGCCGATGAAAGGCGAGGAGAAGGCGCGATTGCTGCACTACAGCGTCGTTCCGTTCACCGCCATCCACGATATCCTCAGCCTGCGTCCCCTGCTCACCGAGAAGACCACGCACAGAGTACGCCCCGAGAACGTAAAGTCCGTAACCATCCCAGACTCCGACACGGACTCGAGGATTAAAATAAACGTGGAAGCAGTGGCGACCGACGAGTTGTTCCACCTGAAGAACCTGAACATCGACCAATGGGTGAACACGCTCGTGAACAACGACAATTTCCGCAACGTGAACGTGTTCGTGAATGGGAAACGCGACCAGGTAGAGCCACTTGTGCTGAGCCTGTCTGCCGAACGCGTGGAATTGTCGCCCGACAACAATGACAATGCTGTATGGACGCCGAAGGCCTTCGCGGTAGAACCATCGGACAAGGAATCTCGCAGCGAGGCTCGCAAGAAGCAGATGCTGACCGAAGCTGCCAGAGGCATCAGATCGGCTGTGTCGACCGTGGTTGACGCGCACCTGCATGTTCCTGATGAACTGGAAACCACGCTGACGATCGCGATGGCCAACAGCAACGTGGAGAAGAAGGGACGAACGCTGTTGTATCTGCGCAATTCGATCGATAGATCCGGCAGGACACCATCCACCGTTGAATTGTGCGCGGCTGCTCAGGCCAAGGCCACGTCGAACGTCCCGTTCTTGGACCAGGCAACTCAAACGAGGCCCAGGGTAGATTTGGACGTGGACCTGCGTGTGGGGAACACCTGCTCCGAAGGCGAGCAGATCACCGTCAACGGCAAAGCTATACAGACGAAGAATCTCAGTGAACTGATCAGGAAGTCCGCTGTGATGAAAGAGTGCCAGAGGCAAATGGAACAGGGGAACAAGATGCTGCGTGTCTGTCAGAACGCGGCGGCGCTCAGCATGATTCTCGACGAATTGGACATCTCCGTGAACTTGCAGTCGAAGAACGTCGTCAACCTGATCACCGAGATGCTCAGCAAAGTGAGAAACACCAACCTCTTGAGCATTCATTCGGATCTGAAGGCTTTGGAGAACGCTGACAGGTGGAAGGTCAATCTCAAGGCTAAACTGTCTGACGACTTGAAGAAGATCAATCTGTTGGTCGACAGCCCGGTCATGGACTTTAAGGTGAATGACATTAGTCTCTCTGCTCTTGGGGTTTCCACCAACGACGTTCTGATTTCTGCCGACGACGCCATGGATATTTGGAGTTCGTGGTTCAACAGGGATGAACGTGAGTATTCTACGATGCTAAATTGCTAGACAGTTGATGGAAATTGTTCAGATTTTGTCTGTTCCTGTTCGTGAAACGAAAGTCTGTGGAAATATTCTCAAAAATTTGTTCGCGAAAACCTCGCTGTCCAGTTGTAAGCAGAGCTATATTTCATCTCAGCTATATTTCTACAGCTTCTTGCGTGCTGGACAGAACAAAGACCCAGACATTCGACGGAAAGGAGTATCCTATGAGACTGGGCAACTGCTGGCATGTCGTCATGACCACCTTCCCACGATTGAACCCAGAGAATTCGGAGGAGAAGATACATATCCCCAAGGACAGAAGTGTGAGCATCCTCGTCCGTGACACAGAGAACGGCAAGAAGGAAGTGAAAGTACTACTCGGAAACACGAAGATCCAATTTGTTCCGACTTCCAACCTACCGACAGTCATCGTGAACGAACAGACCGTTTCAGTGACTGACGACCACGTTCACCAGGAGAGACAGGGCGACAGGATTCTGTTCGAGATCTTCAAGCTTAACGACAACTCTCTTCAACTGATCTCCAACAGTTTCCACATCGACCTGGTCGTCGATGGAAAACGCGTTCTGATCAAGGTAAATGAATTTAAAAACGAATAGTTGGTAGAATGTAAAGGCGTAGATCACCAGGTTTTCCCTGTTTTTCTACGAACTATGGATTCTCCTTACTTTTCGAATTTCCTGACTTTCTAACTGCGAATCAATAACGAACGAAAAACTCGCAGGCATCGGACAAATACCGCAACGCAGTTCGCGGTCTCTGCGGCAACTTCGACAACGAGGCGATCAACGACTTCACCGGTCCCAAGAGCTGCATGCTTCGCAAACCTGAGCAGTTCGTCGCCAGCTACGCTCTCACCAAGCATCAGTGCGAGGGCGAGTCCCTGGAGGTAGCGAGATCGCTGTTGAACCACGACTGCGTGCGCGAAACGAGAAACATTCCAAGCAACGTGATCAGCGACATCGAGTCTGGCCGGCAAACCGTCGAGAAGGTACATCTGGGCGGTCAACAATCTGGAGAGAAACGCTGCAGCATCCACAAGACTCACATAACGGAACATGACAACAAGCTTTGCTTCTCGATGCGTCCGGTAATGTCTTGCGCGCCTGGCTGCTCCAGTAACGAGACCAAATCGAAGACCTACGAGTTCCACTGCATGGAGAGGAACCCAGCGTCGATGAACCTGAAGAAGAGAATCGAGAAGGGTGCCAATCCTGATCTCAGCCAGAAACCAGTCACCACGACGAAAATTATGAACGTTCCTCTTTCTTGCAACGCCTGATTTTATCTGGCTTACCTACCTACCTCAATGCATTTTAGTAGATGATTAGAGTAGCACTGTATTTAGCGCGATATTTTAATAAAATTTATTGTTTTCAACATTCCTCGCGTTTTTTACTTTCGTCTCCTTCTCCTCCGTAACGAGCTGGAAATTTTCGTGTATACGAGAGAATTTGTACGAAATATCCAAAGTATAGTGCTTTTTA